ATTATTTTATAAACATTTTTTATAACCAAAAATATTTTTTAAGTATAATTAAAAGAAAAATGTTGACAAATATTATAAAAACACTAATTAAGAAATAAAAATCTATGAACAAGTAGGAAAAAAATTAGGCTTAACGGTAATTTTTAGTTTAGATCATGTGCATTGTTAGTTTTTTTTTTTTTTTTATCTAATCAACCTTTTTTTAGTTTTATGAATAGTAAAGTGGTTTCTTTATTAATGTTTTATTTAAAATAATTATATTATTTTTTATTAAAAATATTAATAACTTAAGTAGTTAAATTATTTTAATTATTCTTTATTCAAAATTTACTAATCAAAATATCAATTAACCAAAAAAATTTAAAAAGTTCAAAAAATTTATTCTTTAAACCGTAATCTCACCCGTTGCAAAATTTTCATAAACTTTCTCAAGTATTGGGACACTAATAATATGATAATTTTAATTGAAAAATAATAAAACTAAATTTATTCAATTTTAAAATAAAAATTAATTGATTTTAAAAATTATTATACCTAATTTAAACTAAAAAAAACTAAAATAATAATAATAATAAATGAACAATAGCTGCAGGATCAAGTTGAATTCGGAAGCTGCTAAACCCACCATGCGGGTCTTAGTCGGAACTCCATGACAAGTCTCTACTTAAAGCTCCGCAGGGTCCCACATATGGATCATGCTTTTATGCATGTGTAATCAAGACTTGAACAGATTAATAAATTTTATTTTTTAAAATTATCCAAAATTAATTAAAATATATGCATAATGTGAAATTATCATATTAAAAATCATTAATTTTTATATTAATTATATATTTTACCTAATTGATGATCTAAAAGATTTTATATTTAAAATTCATATTAATTCAGTTCAATTATTAAATTTGTCATTTACAAAATTTAACGATTAATATTAATTAATTTTATCTTTTTTTATGTATTACATCAAATCAAAATTTATTTATTTTAATTTTTTCTATTTTTTCCAAATTTATTAATAAACTTTTTAACATATATTTTTATTTTTAAATTCAACAGAAATAACAGTCTCATTGCCTAAAATAGCTTTATACATAAAATATTGTAAAAAAGGTAAATTTAAAAATTTTAAATGACAAAAATAAATATAAATAAAGTAAAAAGTGTATGTGTCGAGAGAGAAAGGGAGAGAACTACATGCTAATAGATGAGAAAGTTTCAATATCGCTGAACTGCATAAATATATTTTAAAAAATGGTAACAGAATGTAATGCGTAATTTTGTTTATATTTTCTTGTATTTGTACATTTCATTAGATCTTTAAACAAAAAAATTAATCGTTATAAAAACTATTTAAGAAATTACATTTTTGACGCGAAAAATTTTACACTGTATCAAACATAAATTTTTTCACCAAAAAAAATGCTCATTTACATTCTCTTTACACCATCAATCCTATTGGGTGTTAATTAAATACTAACCGTGGATCTTTGCAGTTTGATCTTGGTTGGATGTGTTTTAATTTATTTGACTCTAGTGGCCGGTAGTAATAAACAATTTATGTGCTCATAAACTGTCGTGATTAGCTTGCTAGGAGTAGGAGAGATGCATATGAGATTTAGTCATTGGTTGTATCAAACATTATTGAAGAACATATCGAATTGTAATTTCAGAGGGCCATGTGGAATCTGCAACACCACCCATTACATGTGGAAACATGCATTATATTAAACTTGGTAGGGTATATCATCATCTTGACTTAGAATGTTACGTAGCAAGTGCTAAGCGTAAAGATCTGGTTTACGTCTCGTTTGTTCGATTTGTTTTGTTTTCATTTTCAATAATGAAAGATGAAAAATTATTGGATGCGAAAGGTGGGGCGGAAACAATACCAGCCACATAGCCTCCATAGGAAAGAAAAGAAAAGAAAAGAAAAGAAAATTTTGAACCACGTCATCAGCGATTGAGCCAATGGGAGCAATCTCATCATTAATTCTCATGTGGCGTAAAACCGACACACACAAAAATTTGGTAAATAGAAAAGCCACGGCAATGTGTGTTGGCATTTGGCAAATGGCAATTGCATTATTGCATGCAATGAAATGTGACAAGTGCCAAAATGCAAGGATCATCTGACTCAGCAATGAGTGACACTTGTCATCCATTCATTAATTAGAATCATAGGAAAAGTTGTTGAAAAGAGATGGATGTTTGAATTGAACCCTCGTGTATAAGTATGATCACTATATGGGAGTTAATGTATAATCATTGTTATAAATTGTTTTAATGAAATTAATGCAAATTATCACTATCAACCACGTATAAACCTAACCTCACCTACACGGGTCGATTGCAATACGCAAAGAAAATTGTTAACTTTGAATTGCTCGTCCAAGAAATGAAAATTTTAAAAATTTTAATTAGTATCGTAAACTAAAAATACATGACTTGGGGCGCATGATTTCAAATGTTTCCTTATGTAATTTCATTTTCGTGTTGCAAAGGATTGCGTACGAGATTTTATTTTATTTTTATTTAATTTAAAATGAATAAAACAAAATATAAAAAAGTTGCGTATAGCTTCAGTAAATATGATTCTAAAAAAATTCAAACTAGAGAAAGCTGAATAAAAGCTTTCTAATTCGTTTTAATTTCCTTGGCTTGATTTCATTATCATCACTTTTATTACCCGTAACTTCATTAGACTCTTATACTTATTTTAATGGTTGAGAAAATTTGGGTTTTATGGGCCACGATAACGATTTATAGGGCTCGTATATATTATTATACTTTTCAGGCCTACCGGTGCCATGCCGTAACAGTTTACCTAATTTTATGAAATTCTGCTTCGAATAATATTGAAAATTAGTGTACTATAATATTTTATAAATGTTAAATAAAAATGATTTCATTAAAATTAAACTTGTAAATGAAATTTATAATTTTTATATAAAAAACTAAATCATACCTTTGAAGGATAATCATAATTATTTTAACGTATTTTCAAGTAATATTAAAATTATTTTATTTACTTTTAGAATTATATCGTAATTTAGAATTATTTAACTAATAATATTTCATTTAATTATTGGTTTTTAGTGAAAAAAAAACATGTTGACAATGTTCCAATAGATTTTAGTTAGACTAGACCTTTTAAACTTTGTCTTTAATCAGTTTGAACTTAATATAATAAATGTTTTTGTTAAGAATACACTTGTCTTTTGTAGTCTCTCTCTATTTTCTGATGTAATATTTTTATAAAATATTTTAGATTTTCTTCTGCTATGACGTAAGAAGAGTACCTACAAAGGTATTATGATAGTGAAATCAGTATTCGAGATAAAACAGTAAATGTTATTTTATATTCTGAAGTCAACTATTTTATCTATACTTTTTACTTTCTTTTTATAGATATAATATTAGGTTACTGGGCTTCATTGTTCAGTCATATCTTATCCCTCTTAATTACTTAAATAATTAGTTATTTCTTTATTAATTATCAATTATTAATCTTTAATTAGTTTATTGATCAAAGGAGTGTAAGTATCCTTTGTCCAGAAGTATGGCAAAAGGAGTGTGAGTACCCTTTGTCTTGAAGTATGATTGAGGAGATATTCAATTTTCTTTATCTTTGATAATAACTAAGTAATATTCTTATTCGATACACTAAAATAATTAAATGTATATATTGAATGATCTAAAAGTAAAAATACTTGGAAGAAGAAATTGAAATTACCTGAGAGGGAAGCATCTTGGTCTGATTATGTGAATTGACGAACTAATTATAAGATAATAATTAAATAATAATTTTTAATTATTTTGAAGGCCATCAAATAGAAACTTATAAATTTATATTATATTTAAAAAAAATTAAAAATTCTTTTAAAAATGAGAAACAAACATACCCTTAAACTTCTTAAAAGAAAGCTAAAATTGACTTTAATTTTATTTGACAAACAAAAAGAGTGTACTTAAAAAACAATAGTTTATTCTATAGAAGTATCCATATAATATGTAAACTCAAATATTACTTCAAGTAACATTTGATAAAACATCATAAATTAATGAAATAGACTTATTTGTTGAAATCTTCGATTTGGATCAAATAAATATATAGTAAAATAAGTTATAAATTAGCTGAAATATCTTTTCAAGCACTAATACTTTTAAAATTAGATCAATGATTAAATTTGTAAAAACACTTATTCAAAGTTCAATAGTTTTACTTCATTGTTGAATCGAAGTCATATCAATGATAATTAAATAAATTTTTAATGTTATATAATGAATTGGTGTGCAATTATTAAAAAATTAAGTTAAGCAAAGTTAATATATAATAATTATTTTGACTATTTTTATTAGATAAAAATTTACAATAAATAGCTAGAAAATATTAATTTATATATACATCTCATACATAGCCTTTATTTATTTTAAAAATAGTTTTTAAAATCAATTTTTTATAGCCAATTTTAGTTTGTTCTTAATAAGTTTACCTGATTTTTTGCTCCCTAATTTTTTAAACGTTGTGAATATTAAATAACAAATTTACATATAAATATCAGTCAAGATTCATTGACACTAATTAATAATTTTTTATAAAATATAAGATTAATTTAATTGTTTAACCATTTTATATATTTTTTATAATTTATATTAAATTTTAAATAATTTGAATATGCTATTTAAAATTTAATATTATTTATATTTTAAGAATATATTATTTAAAATAAAACATTACAATAAAATATCTATTAATTTTATTTTTATAGTTTTTTATAAAATTAATTTACTTAATAACAACTTAAAATCCAACAATTATATTGGTTAATTTTGAATTTGATTTCATAAATATCTGAATATTAAAATTGCTATTTATATAAATACGAATCCAAATACAAATATTTTATTAAAATAGGAATATGATTGAACCCTTTCCAAAATTAAGCCATTACCATACTATACAAAACAAACAAGAGTGAGGAATGATTGCATTAGAAAATTGTAGGGGACAGTAACCCCAATTATTCATGTGAGGCCTCACTCCAAAGGGGTCCCAACTCATCCACCTCATCCAAACCATTCATGTTTCATGTGAGGACGTCCCTAACTCCTTCTCCAGACACTGCTATCCTCTGTTATAAATGTACCAATGTGTGCCCAAACACATGTCACATTGTCCCATTCACTTCACAGCTTTTACCCCACACTGTTTTCTCACTTCACAGCTCTACCTCTGTTCTGCCAAGTCACACATCGTTTCGTTTTTCATCATGGCAAGCCACATGCCATTGTTACCCTTACCCACTTCTTCTGATGACTCTTCTCACCGTCGCAAACACCGCAAGGATCTGCTTTTCATCGTTTGCGCCTTCATTTTGCTTTTGTCCATCGTCGCCTTCTGTGGCTACAGGGCCTCCAACGTGCCTCCTCATGCTGACGTGGCATCGTCGACGACAACTAATGACCCCACAGCGGTGCCTTCCTCGAAATGGTACCCGGTTTCGCGTGGGGTTTCTTCTGGGGTGTCGGAGAAGTCGTCCAGTATGTTATTCGGCGTTGAAGATGGACCCTCTGAAGCTTTTCCTTGGGACAATAGCATGTTGTCGTGGCAGAGAACTGCTTTTCATTTTCAGCCAGAGAAGAACTGGATGAACGGTATGCGTTTTTGTGTTTAATCTGTTCCCTCATACAGTTGAAATTAACTGCAAATAAAAACCTCCATGTTTTTTATTGATATATACGAGGTTTCACTTAGATGAAATGTTTTTCTCCTTGTACAGTTAATATTTGTGCGTTTACAAGAATTATGGATTGGGATTTCGTAGGTCTCTATTTTGAAAAAGGATCTTATAATGAACAAATGGGGATATAATGAAAAGTGATTAAGAAAATTATACAAGTTTAGCCACTAAAAAGTTCGCTTTTTTAAATATGGTACAAAACTGTCTTGTCTGAATGATTTGTTTTAATTTAATCGAAATTAAAAATTGGGTTGCATCTGAATGTTTGTGACGAATTTCTGTTTATCTCACCTAATTTTTTGCCTTATTTTATGTTGGGTTACTGTGCCTTGGACTCATGGGGGAACCTGGTTTGCGCTGCTTCAGATCCCAATGGTAAGGACACTTCTACCCTTCTACCCTGTTTAAGGTTTGCATAACTTGGTTTAATTCGCTGCTAATTTTCTTCTATTTTGCTCATTTTCGGGTTGAGTTGTCTCTTTTCAACATAATTAAAATACTGGGTCCCAGTTAAAGATTAACTTTGGGTCTGCATCAGAGTTCAATTTGATTTTGACACCGTGAATTTTGATTTAGCAATAAAAAATACCATAAATTAAGCCAGCCTCACAAAATTATTGAGCTAAAGCATTCGCTTTTCCAGCGATATTGGAATTACCAAAGTTTAAAAAGGAGCCCTTAGCTATGTTTAGATGTGAATAGAATATACTGAGGTAAAACTCCAATCTGACAGCACTAGAGGTATTTACGGTTGCAGCAAGATAAAATGATACTTAGTGGAATGAAATCAGGTAATTATGTATAATTTTTTATGATATTTTTCAGGTCCTATGTACTACAAGGGATGGTATCACTTTTTCTACCAGTACAATCCAAACGGTGCAGTTTGGGGTGACATAGTTTGGGGACACGCGGTGTCAAGGGACATGATCCATTGGCTTCACCTTCCACTGGCAATGGTAGCAGATCAATGGTATGATGTGCAAGGTGTGTGGACAGGTTCTGCCACCATCTTACCCGATGGTCAAATCATCATGTTATACACTGGTTCCACCAACGAGTCGGTGCAAGTTCAGAACCTTGCATATCCAGCAGACCCTTCTGACCCGCTTCTTGTGGATTGGATCAAACACCCCGGAAACCCGGTTCTCTTCCCACCACCTGGCATCGGTGCCAAGGACTTTCGTGACCCAACAACCGCTTGGTTAACCTCTGAAGGGAAGTGGCGCATCACCATAGGGTCTAAGCTTAACAAAACTGGCATTGCCTTGGTTTATGACACTGAGGACTTCAAGACCTACCAGCTTAAGAAAGGGTTGCTTCGTGCTGTCCCAGGCACTGGCATGTGGGAGTGTGTGGACTTCTTCCCTGTGTCAAAGAAGGCTGAAAATGGCTTGGATACTTCTGTTAATGGTGCTCAGGTGAAGCATGTTATGAAAGTTAGCCTCGATGATGATAGACATGATTACTATTCAATTGGGAGTTACGATGAAAAGAAGGCTTCGTTCATACCGGATGACGCTAAGAATGATGTTGGTATTGGACTTAGATATGACTATGGTATATTCTATGCTTCCAAGACATTTTATGATCAGAGTAAGCAAAGGAGATTGTTGTGGGGTTGGATTGGAGAGTCTGACAGTGAATATGCTGATGTGGCCAAAGGTTGGGCTTCAGTTCAGGTATATGATACAGTATAAAACCCTTTGTATATTAATTTTCGAAGTTTGCATATTTTTTTTAACTCTACTACTTTGTAACGTATAAAATGGTTAAATTTTGATTGTATAGAGTATTCCAAGAACGGTGAAGTTTGATAAGAAGACAGGCAGCAACTTGCTTCAATGGCCTGTTGCTGAGGTGGAGAGTTTGAGATTGAGAAGTGATGAATTTAACAATTTGAAGGCTAAGCCAGGTTCAGTGGTATCACTAAATATAGAAACAGCCACGCAGGTTTGTGACTTTGTGATGATAATATCAAATTTCTGAGATATTAATTCAGAGAGATTTATAGACATGAATAAGTACAAATTTGAATTACATGACATTGTTGTATTTGCCAATGCAACAGTTGGACATTGTTGCTGAGTTTGAAATAGATAAGGAGGCCCTGGAGAAAACAGATCAATCCAATGAGGAGTACACGTGCAGCAGCAGTGGGGGAGCTGCAAAACGTGGTGCCTTAGGACCTTTTGGTCTTCTGGTTCTGGCTGATGAAGGACTTTCTGAATATACTCCTGTGTACTTTTATGTCATCAGAGGAAGCAATGGAGATCTTACGACTTCCTTTTGCTCTGACCAATCAAGGTATTGGACTATCTGTTTGTGAACTTGTAGTTGTTCTTTTTGTTTTGTTCTAAAACACACAATAAATATTAAATACAATACCCATTAACTTCGTTGGATAACGAAAACATTTTTCTACTAGGTTGTCGTACGAAAATAAATTTGGTCTCTTATTAGATGCTAGTTAAGTATTTTTTTTTTAGTTGTCTCAAAAATGTCAAAAAAGTATTAGTTACTATTTTCTAATAATACCCTTATTTATTATGAATAGTTTTTGTCAATTAACTATTATAATAACTTTAAGATTAATTTTATAAACTACTACTGCATTGATTTCAACACTTTTAGTAAGGATATTTTATTGTAATCAATTATTTTATTATAATAAGTAGTAAAATTAATTTTTTTTTTAAAGATATGCGTATTAATACTAAGTCACATCTAAAATGAGAGGGGAAATATTTTGTTGTAACGAAAATGGGACATCTTTTGATGTCTTTTTTCATTTTAAGAAATATTTTTTCAGATAGGTGTATAAAATAAATAAATAAAAATAAATGAAAGATAAAAATAATTATATGTGGTTTCAATTGGTTCAAGTAATGGAATTGATTGTGATGAAATCAATATTGTTTTCATAGGTCATCTGTGGCAAATGATGTTCATAAGCAAACCTTTGGAAGCTTTGTCCCAGTACTTAAAGGAGAAAAGTTGTCCTTAAGGATCCTGGTACTTAAGTTGAGCCTTTCAGTTATATATAGTTTTCTAGTTCAAAGGATTACATGCCATATACAAATCAATGTTGTCTGGTTATGATTTAGGTGGACCATTCTATAGTTGAAAGCTTTGCTCAAGGTGGAAGAACGTGTGTGACATCCCGGGTTTATCCAACAAAGGCAATCTATGGAGCTGCTAGATTGTTCTTGTTCAACAATGCTACTGAGGCCACTGTGACAGCCTCACTCAAAGTTTGGCAGATGAATTCAGCATTTATACGCCCATTCCACCCTGATCAGAAGACTTACAAAATTGACACTCACAAGGGAATGCATTTTGGGTCGGAAATTGGAACCCAATAACTGTAATGATCGTTTTCTCATCAACCCACCCACAAAGTCCATTACCTCATTTTTGTCCAAATATTTTTATGAGAATCTTAACTGTAATTTGGTCGCACCCATATGTGATGATTGACCTTTTACAAGGGAATCCCTTCATCAAAGAAATATGTTGTCCAACTTCTTCGATTCTCTAGTAAAAATCTTTTTGGATATGTATTGAATTGAAGTTCAAAAGAGAGATTGAAATTGTATAATTTTAAAAATAGAAGAATTTAATTAGCTTTAAAAAAATTGAAATGTCAAAATCATATATAGTCTAAACTAAAGAGATAAAAAAAATTATAATTAAACGTAACTTTAATTTCAAGTATGTATCGGAGAAATAAATTGTAATGACGAGACTATTAATGAATAAATATTTGTATGACGTGAACATGAGATATATAAAACACTTAACTCTCGTTTTAACGTCATTTTGGTATGCATGATGTGATAACACTTAATAATATAGCATATATAGATGATAATATAATATTTGTGAAAGTGTAGAAAGAGTAAAATTAGTTTGATATAGTTGTCGGTCGTTACATTTTGTGATGTGATGTAAGAAGTTATACAACTGAAACTTCAGTTATATGTTATAACAAAAATTAAATTCAAATACTGAGTCATATTCTTATATAGTATTAAGAGCCATCACCAGCTATAGTTTTTGCTCAATTTTTCATTTTGTCCAATCCTATTTCTTTCAAAGCAACTAATTAAAATTTCTTACCATGCAAAGATCACCAAGCTTTAAAAAGTTTTGATTACTAAGAATATCCATTCAAGAATCATTGATGATGAAGACAATGATATAGAGGAAGTAAAAAATTCAAAAATTTTGATTTGTGAGAATAATAAGATCAATTGCTATTAGTGTGTCTGCTTTCGTCTATGTTAGAACTTACATACAATAAAATGGATGGTTGCTCAACCTCACCTAAAGTTTAAAAGAAGTTGGATGTATTCTTTGCATTTAAGACAGAAGTCAAGGTGAAACACCTCAAAATTCAATTGAAGAGTATCTAAAAAACAGGGGACTACTAATGGGTTAGGTAAAAAAACATGAGCCTTGTATAAATTTCAATTTTTTCAGGACAGATCCATAAATTGTAGATGAGACTAAAACCTTATTAATGGCACAAGAAACAAGGCTCAAAAAGTACAAATTGATCGGTATACGAGCCCAATGTAACTCAATTACAATTCAGAAAAGGTGAAAATTCTACCAATTATATTTTTCTAGGGTTAATGATTAAAATAATATTTTTTTAAAAATTAATTATTGAATTAAAGTAAAAACAAAACTTATTTTCTGTTTAAGGTTAATTTTTGCCACATAGACATTAATTTCGTATTACTTGTAGATGAAATCAAATTTTTTATTTTTAATTTAATGATTTTATCCTAAATATAGACGAAATAAATTAAAGATTTAAATCAAATTTTTTCGTTTGTGACACATGGCCTAATCAAGATATTTTGTCGTTGATCGAGACAAAAGCTGCTTTCGTCTTAGTTAGAGACGAAACATCCTGATTGGGCCACCAGTTGGCGGAGCAAAGGTAACTGCACCTCCCTCTTCCCTTCTCCTCCTCTGCAATTCCAATTTTATTTCCTCCATTCTTTTCTGTTCAAGGGCTTGGGTAGTTTATTTTTTTATCGTTTTACGGTGATTTGTGAGTGAGCTTTGTCATCCATTGCAGAACCGTGTCCAAATCTACTTTGGTTGCAGGTAGTGGAGGTGTTTTTGGATTGAAATTTTGAGGAGGTTGAAAGAACAGTAACCTATTACACAGTCGCTATTAACAGAGGTTGTCGGAGAGACGCTGTCGTCCAGACAACTGGCCGCTGTCTCTAGGAACCCTTTGCTGCCAAAAATCGCCATCTGCTAACCTAACAAATTTTTTTCATTTTAAATATAATTATTTTGTATATTTTCTTATCCCCCACTCCGAGCACTTGCCTCTTCCTTTCTAGTTTTGACAACTCTATTTTGTAATTTATTTAATTCAATCAATACAAAACAAGTGCCATTAATCATCCACAAAATCCAACCCAATTTTGTAGTCAAACACGCGTATGTGAATAATTTGTGAGGCATAATATACGGTTGAGATACTCCAACATCATAAATTGACAATTGCAAAGCCACTTGGGATTCGTTTGCTTTTGTTTGCATGACGAGAGAATTTTTTATAATAAAATTAATATTTAAAATTAAAATTGTATAACTAAATTTATTAAATTTTTAGCTTGTAGAAAAAATCTTATAATAATATTTAGATTAAAAATATAATCTAAAGAATTTTGATAATTTTATAAAAAATAAAAAATAACCAGAATTTGTAAAATTAAATATTGATAGTAATATTTAGATTAAAAATTAAGCTTGCTTTTAGAATTATTATACTAATTTGAGGTATAAATTATAAAATAACTAAAAATTAATTTTAAAAAATTAAATACAATAATAAATAGTTAAAAAAAATTCGAATAGAAAATTAGAAAATAATTGTATCAAATTATTTGATTAATTATATAAGAAATGATAATTTATACCTTCTGTAACATTTATATTTCCCATTTCCATAAGATTAGGCAATAATATTGATAAGCTTAAGTCTAACATATTTGACCTAACTCTTGAACTCTCACCAAATGTAATATTCACATATAATTCAATAACAGTTGTAATACTTTGTTGTTGATACGCACTAATCATATAATCAATATCTTCATCATCACATATATCCAACGCAGTGTATTGTTTAGCACCTGAATCAACCATAAAACGAGAAATTATTCTACATATAAAATGATTATTATTAAGATTTAACTTGTCATGATTTTTTTTTCAAATTCATAAAACTTATTCCTTTTTTTTTTTTTTTGTTACCTTCAAATATCACACATTCATTTTCAATAACAATTTTTTCATTCTAATAGATAATAATAATAATCTCACTCATCCTGCATTTTTTTAAAAATAAAATATCAACAAACAATTACAATTATACTTATTTGTATAAATAAAAAAATAAATTATTATTAAACCACACAAATATACTACTACATTTTACATTATTTTATATTACAAAAATCTTATATTTTTATACATATTCCACATATATATAATAAATATTTACAATAAATATAACATTTATTTTTTAAATATTAAACATCTATTAATATAACAAATATAGCTACTCCTATTTATTTAAGTAATTAAAAAAATATCTCAAATTTATTAATAATAAAAATATTTAACAAAATATAATTTATAACTCACCTTATATCAAGTCTTCTAAGTGTGCTTCTCTTCACGTCAATTTGCCTCAATTTGGATACGCAGGGAGGTAGATTATATAGTTCAAATTTCCTGGACATTTGGGTGTAGCAGCACTGAATAGACCAGGGGTGTAAGCACTTTCGTCTCCACGTGACACAAATTTGAGGCAAAAAAATTTGACCTCCTAAATTTTCACCTTAAATTAGGACGAATTCAATTATAACTAGACACGTATCATCTGCTCACAATTTTATCTTTATTAAAGATGAATTTAATGTATTTTGTCCCTTTGTGATATGAAACTACATATACGTGGCGAGTTTTACGGTATTTTGTCTGTATTTTAGACGAATTAAATAAATAAATAATTAATTTTGTTTATGTTAAATACAAAATCATTACATACGTGGCAAAAATTTACCCTAAACAGGAAATAAGTTTTACTTTTACTTTAATTAATTATTTTTTTAAAAAAATATTATTTTAATCATGACGCCATTTTTCTAATTCTAGATAAAGTAAAGGTTTTAATAGAAGTAATTTTGGTAGAGGCAATAATAGAAGGGGATTTGGAACAGGAGGTAACAATAAAAAAAGGTAACAGAAGTTGCTTAAGTCCAAAGTTATAATGTTAACTTAGTAACAAAATTGGTGATACTATGAGTGTTATTGGAAATTTAATTAAAATTTCCCTTACTCTTCTCATTAAAAATTTCAGCAAAATCAGCGCCCTAAACACGTATCGACTAGCAACAATTGAGATTCAGGTGCTAAGCCAAATATATTGCACCCAAAATTTGAAGATATCTTACAATTTGATTATACGTCATTTGATAAAATTTTTATATTAAAAGTATTGTCACGTATTTAGTGATGAACTATACAAAACTAACTAGGATAAAATTAAATACTTTCTACGGATTATTTTAAAATTATTATGTTTATATAAATTGTTATATAACACTACTTCCTAAAGAAATAAAAGTCAATAATGCCCAAAAATATCCCATTACCATCATTTACATTTAACAAAAACAATATGTATGGTAAGACTAATCAGATTTAATAAAAGTCTAGATCTAACATATTAAAAAAATTATAAAAAGACTTCTGAATCTTCACAATGCTCTAAAAATATATTTGTACATACGTTGTAATAGTTTTTTTTTTTAAATGAAAGATAGTCATATTCGCTATTTTTCATCTATGTATTAGTATTAAATTTAGTATTATATTTAAATTTCTTATATATTTATATAATTTATACATATGATTGGTTGTTTTTAAAATATTTAAAATTACACTAATTTATAAATTTTACATTATAAAGTCTGTCGTAGTTAATCCTAACAAATTACAATATCTTCAAATTTTAAAATAAGAATTATGTAAATATGTCAATCTTATAATATTAGCTCAATTGGCATTATTATCTCCTCAGAACAAATTTAACATGTCACTCAATCATGTCTCTGCCAACTATTGACTCTGAAGAGAACATGCAAATCAATATCATTTAAGGATGTCACTTCGAACTCGAATTACTTATTTGGACTAATCAGTTATGACCTATGCTTAATAGTGGTGTTGATCCATTTCAAACTAAACTTTGGTTTGAGTTGAGAAATTGTTGTCCCAATATAAGCCCACATAAATTAGGACCCATTTAATTTAACTACTCTATTGATATGTATTTATTTATATAATAAAAGCTACAAAAAGTGTTAATTTAAAAATTTAACGAAATCTTATTAAACAAAGTTATATCAATTTATGTTAAAAAAATTATAACCTATTATTATTTAAAATCGGTGAACATTTTTACGGTTGAATTTTAAAAGATTTTACATAAGCT